CGTGGGCTCAGGCAATCCACTCACCTCGGCCTCCCAAAGTGCGGGATTACAGGCTGAGCCACCGAGCCCGGCCTCATATTTTTTTAAATGGGGATAATAATCATGTGTACCTCATGGGATTGTTGTAACAAGATATCACGAGTGCTCAGCACAAGTACTAGTACCAGAAAAGCCCTCAGCAGTCAGCGGCTATAATTATTACCATGGGAAGCATATGGCACTGTGTGTGACACATGAAGGGGACTTGATGATTATAAGCTCACCACCACCCTCTTTGCCCAGGCCAAACAGGCTCCATGTGCCACCAAGTCCTCAGGCATGGAGATTTCAACTCTAGCTCTCTTCACAGACCCAACAAGGCAATGCTCATGACCAAGGAGAAATGACCTCCCTATAGAACACTGCTCAGCTGAAAGACCATCTACTCCTGACAATAACCCAGTCAGCATGAATTCTTTTCTGAAGATTTACTCATTTATAAAAAGTTCTCGGGGTATAAAATAACAACAAAAAAGTTCTCGAAAATGTGGCCTGAAATTAGCCAGGCATGGTAGCATGCACCTGTAGTGATCCTTCTGCCTCAGCCTCCTGAGTAGCAGGGACTACAGGCACGCGCCACCATGCCTGGCTAATATTTTTTTGTTGAGACCAGGCCTTGCTGTGTTCCCCAAGCTGAGCTCAAACTCCTGGGCTCAAGCAATCCTCCCACCCTGGCCTCCCAAAGTGCTGGGATTACAGGCATAAGCCACTGCACCCGGCCAAGACTTGCTTTATTAAGACAGAAGAGAAAGCCAGGCACAGTGGCTCATACCTATAATCCAAGTTACTCAGGAGGCTGAGACAGGAGGATCATTAAGCCCCGGAGGTTGTGGCAATGAGCTGGGATCGTGCCACTGCACTCCAGCCTGGGTGACAGAGTGAGACCCTACCTCACACACAAAAAGAAAACATGGGCTGACAGTGAGTCAGAGATGTGGACCAGATAGCCACACCTGTGAACACTGCTGGCCTCCCAGGAACAGCCTCCCAGGAGAGCAGCCAGGGAGGTCAGATGGTAGGAACCCTGGGAGGCATGGTATCAGCAGAGGAATAAAGAATTGGCAACTCTGTGGGGAAAAGAGGGACAGGGATCAGGAGGCTTGAAGCAGGCGAGTGCAGCATGCTGAGGAGGGGGAGGTATGGAAGGAATGCAGGAAACAGTCAGCCCAGGGAAAATGCCCTGCTAGCTTATCCTCTGAACCACCTGCATTTGGACAAGAGTAGTCCTCAGTTCTGCACCAAGACCTGGTCCAGTTCCTCTCAGGTGGCCCTGGGGACTTGCCCATCACCCACCTCAGACATCCAGGGCAAGGGTTATCGTGAAATGTCTAGGAAGGCTAGACCCACATCCAGGGAGGGGCCCTCATGAGCCCAGCATGGGGCCCACTGCCAATGCCATGGTCTCAGATCTGGTGTTAGCAGAGTTTGTTCCAAGGGTGTCCAGGATGGCCATAGGGAAGAACCAGGTCAGGCACGGCAGATGGCCCCCTCCAGCTCCAGAGTGGACGTTGATGGAGGAAATTCTCAAGTGTTATAGGAGGTGCTGGTGGGCTCTGGAGGCGTCCACGTCCCATTAGCCTCAGTCGCCCTGGAGAAATCCCAGGGGAAAGGAAGAGAACCATGGACAGAGCACATGTCATAAAAGTCTGAGTCAACCAACAAACAACAGTTCAGCTGCGTGGCACCTGTGAGCCCTTGGCCACCTGCTGTGGCTTCACTTCATCAGAGCTGGCCCCAGGAGTTAGACCGGCAGCTCCAACCATGTTTCAGCCAAACACTCATTTTCATATATACATTTTTAAAATGTATTATTATTATCTTTTTAGACAGAGTCTCACTCTGTCTACCCGGGCCGGAGTGCAGTGGCACGATCACAGTTCATCGCAGCCTCAACCTCCTGGGCTCAAGTGATCCTTCTGCCTCAGCCTCCTGAGTAGCAGGGACTACAAGCACGTACCACCATGCCCGACTAATATTTTTTTGTTGAGACAAGGTCTTGCGATGTTCCCCAAGCTGATCTCAATCCTCCCACCTTGGCCTCCCAAAGTGCTGGGATTACAGGCGTAAGCCACTGAGCCCTGCCAAGACTTGCTTTATTAAGACAGAAGAGAGCCGGGCTAGGTGGCTCAGCCTGTAATCCCGCACCTTTGGGAGGCTGAGGTGAGTGGATTGCCTGAGCCCGCGGGCAACTTGGCGAGACCTCATCTCTACAATAAATCAAAAATCAGCCAAGCGTGGTAGTGCGCGCCTGTAGTCCTAGCTCCTTGGAAGGCCGAGGCGGAAGGATCGCCGGAGCCCAGCAGGTCGAGGCTGCGGTGGCCGGGAGCGGCCACTGCACTCCAGTCTGAGCGACAGTGAGACTCCAATTCAAAAAAAAAAAAAAGACAGAAGAAAATCCAGGTGCTCTTGTCCGCCTGCTCTTGCTTTCTCTGGCAGAAGTCACCATCTTCATCACCTAGATAAATAGTCCATTTTTCTGTGACTTATTTGCTTTAAATGTTCAACGTGGGGCCTTCTGACATGAGTTCAAATCTTCGGGTAAAATATACTTCAGAAACACAAGTGTGAATAGGCTGAGGGTTACTAGGGGCTGACCCTTCACAAAAGGAAGGACCAGGTCAGCCATTTTCTAGTACTTTGGGCAAGGAGGCCAGACCAAGGGAGAAAACCATTCATTCAATGGCCTCGGCAAGGCTAATGTATGTACTTGAAGTGGAACGTGTGTGCGTGCGTGTGTGTGTGTGTGTGTGTGTGTGTGTGTGTGTGTGTGTGTGTTAGGGTCTTACTGTCACCCAGGCTGGAGTGCAGTGGCACAATCACAGCTCACTGCAGCCTCTACCTCCTCGACTTAGGCAAGGCTTCCGCCTCAGCCTCCCGTGTACCTGTGACTATAGGCATGTGCCACCATGCCCAGCTCATTTTTTTTGTAGAGATGAGGTTTTACTATGTTGCCCAGGCTGGTTTCAAAGCAATCCTCTCGCCTTGGCCTCCCAAAGTTCTGGGATTACAGGCATCAACCACCACATCCAGCCAGAAGTGGAAATGTCTTGAGACTTCATGACCATCATTGGTTCCCCTCTGCACCTGCTCCTGACACTGTTCAGACCCACCAACAATAAAGGTCCCGGGTTGTCACCCTTCATTCCTTAAAAAAAAATTCTTGCTGATAGTGGCACACTCCTAGGAATGTCACAGAAAAGCTGAGGGTAAGATTCAGGCTGCTGTCTCCCCACCCTACCCCAACTTCAACCAGTATGTGCAAAACTTCTGCCAGGAGACATAACCACACCAATATCAGGTACACAGTTACTTGACCTACCCATTCCTCGTCCTCTGCCCCATCCCCCTGCTCTCGGGTCTCAGCTGCGGCCCCCTCAGAAGACTTCTGGGCCATGATGTTGTCTGCCCAGGATGCCCCTGCCTTCCTGTCACCGGCGAAATTACACTTGGTCACTGTTCCAGCCTCGAGTTTGGCCAGTGAATCTGAAAGAAGAGATGAAGTTGAATGTCCTCTGTCCCTGTGGCAGACACACAGTGGGGGCGAGGCCCATTCTGGTGGGGTCTCCCAGGCCTGGGTTAAGCCATTGTTCTCTCCAGGCCTGGATGTGGTCAGTGAGGCCTTGGGTGGGACTCCCCGAGGCATGGTGGAGAGAGGTCACCCACAGAAACCATGGGATCGGATGACACTCCAGGATCCAGGGTGTCCCGCCTACTGGCCCCAGGGCATTTGCCCAGGAATTAGGAATAAATCTCATAGGCTTGGTCATGTCCCCTTGGAGGCCAGAACTGGCCTACTCCCATAAGCTCTATACAGGAGGGGTGGAAAAGCATCAGAAGCAAGGCCAGGAGACCCTGCAGGTCACACAGGAACATCAGGCCAGAGAGAGGGTCACGCTGCTCACCCAGAAAGGGGCCGTCTCCTCGGGTCTTCAGCCGCACCCCGGCCCCCAGCTCAAGCTCCATTGCTTCCATCTCTGACTCAGGCACCCAGAAGGCCACCGTCTGGGCGGGCGTGAGGCTCTCTGTCAGCACCAGCAGCTCAGGCTTATTGACCAGCTCCTTCAGTGTCTCGGGTGTGAGTCTGTCGGTGTCCCCCTTGGCCTCTACCCCTGCAGGTACACGGCACAGAAGGGTCATGGTCGCTGCACAGCAAGCACTTATGGAGGGCCTTTCAGGAGCCAGGTGAGCACTGAGTGGGCTCACAGTCACCTGAATGTCCATACCCATTCTGCCAGGACTCTGGTCAAGGATCTCCACAGCAGAGGAGTCACGGGTATGGGCTCTGGTGCCAGGCTACCTGGGCCAGATCTGGGCTCTATAATAACTCTGGCAAGTTATATAACCTCTTTGTACCTGAGAAATGGGGTACAATCAGTACCTACCTGATACAACTGACATGGAGTATAAATGAAATAAAGCATGTTAAGCACTTAGCACAGCACTGGTGAAGGGTACAGGAAACAGCCAGAGGGGCGGCTCCCAAAATGGCACCGAACATGGTAAAGCCACACTAGACAACAAAGGTCCTAGGTTCCGGCTTCTTCATGCACGATTCCCCTCACGCATGAAGTTCAAACCTGCAAGCCTCCAATCATTTCCCATGACGTAGCTAGCTTTGTTATACCCACCCTGCTCCCATGCCACTCCTCCAATAGAAACCTAGCACAGCCCTTCCGGCCCCTGCCAAGCCCATAAATACACCCCCTCCCTGCATAACTCTCTCTTTTGCTTCCTCTCTCTCTTGCTCCCTCTCTCTCTTGTTCTCTCTCTCTCTTGCTCCCTCTCTCTCCCCGCCACTCTCTCACTCTCTCTCTCTCTCTCTCACTCTCTCCCTCTCTCTTGCTCTCTCTCTGTCTCTCCCCCTCTCTTGCTTTTTCTAGGTTACAGACCCTCTCTATAACAGCCCCTTTAATAAATCTCTTGGTCTTGGCCAGGTGTGGAGTCCTTACTGGTGCCAAAATCCTTTCATTGGTCCCGTGACTCAGATTGGGTGCTCTCCCACCCTTGTACAGGTCTATCCCATAGGCGGGATCCCCGACCCTGCGCCAGTGGCCACTCCAACCCTCCTGGACCTTCCCCACTGTTTTGAACGCGTGAACTGTATCCACCAGCAGTTGTTGGATAGGTGAGTTCCCCAGACACGAAAGCCTAAACTTGCCCAGGACCCCCCGGAGCATCCGGCAGCCCCTCTGGCCCCCAGGCGAGGGGGAATGCACCCCGCCTCGGCCTTCACGGCCACAGTGGACCCTAAAGGCTTCCTCTTCTCTTTCATCTCTCTCAAACTTTAAAAACTTCCATGGCTGTTGGGCTACAGCGGGCCCCGGGGGTCCCATGTCTGCTAACCCACAGTGGTTTCCATAAGATTCTCTTTCTCTCCCCCTCTCTCTCCCCCCCCCTTAAGGACTCCCATGGCTGTCGGGCTGCAGCAGACCCTAGGGGTCCCACGTCTGCTAGCCCACAGCGGATCCCGGAGGGCTCCCACATCTATCGGGCAGTAGTGAACCTCGGAGGTTCCGCATCTATTGCCCCACAGTAAGCCCTATTCGACCCGCAGGAATCACAAACACGCTCCCACCCGCCGCCCAGTCAAGTGCTTTCTGTCTGGTCCAAAAATCCTTGCACAAGGTGCCTTGACCCCTCGGTTCTCCAGGAGAACACTGGTTGTGCCAAACCTCTGTGACGACAGACTTTGCCATAGCCACACTTCTCAGACAGCTGACTCTTTGGGGGATGCCCCGTTTAGTCCACCTGTCCCACCATGGGAGGCTCATTACCCGTACCGGCTGATTCCCCTCTTAAATGCCTCTTAAATAATCTCACTACACTTTCTCTCTCCCCTGATATCAAGCCCAAATGCCTAATTCGCCTCTGCACACAGGACTGGCCAACATATCCCTTAGACAACCAAAATCAGTGGCCCCCTCAGGGGTCCCTCAATCCTGATATCATCCGGGACTTATATAATTTCTGTGAGCGTTCAAAACGGTGGGCAGAAATTCCCTATGTTCAGTCCTTTTCTCTCCTCCGTAAACACTCCCTCTACAGCTTCTCTCCCTCCCACTGTCCGCATGCATCTGTACTTTCTCCTCCAAACCCCAATATGTACTTGAAAAACCCATTCAACTTTCCACATGGCTTAATAGGTCTCTTCTCAAGGGGGGTGACTGGGACAAAAGGATGTTAAAAAACTTCTTCTTTGTTGTTTTCTTATGATAAATTTCTCTCAAGTTATAAACTGAGTTATCTAAACTGGGCCTATATCAACCTTCTTCCCAGGCAAAAATAAAGAGATCATGTAAATAAATCAACTTTCTTCCCAGGCAAAAATAAAGAGATCATGTAAATAAATCCTGTTAGCTAACTACAAAAGGTGTTGATAAACAGGCTAACTAGGACAGAATAAAAGAGGTTTTTCAAAAACCAGATAAAAATCCAGCAATATTTCTAAGTTGCCTCTCTGAGACACTGCAGCAGTTTACTAATATTGATTTAAACTCTGTGGAGGGACAAACTCTTTTGGCTATGTATTTTATCTCCCAGTCAACACCGGACATTAGGCACAAACCCCCCAAAATTAGAGAAACCCCTCAACTAGAACTATTGGACATGGCCTTTAAAGTCTTTAACAACCGGGGGGAGGAAAGAATGCAGGACCACAAACATAACTGGGAAACGTTTCAGCTTTTATCTACCACTTTAGCAGTGAGAGCCACCACTGATAATCTTCCACCCCAGATGGTCGATAGCAGGAGGGGTACACAGCCCCTTCCCAGGTTTGTTTCCGATGTCATCAAAATGGGCATATGGCCAAAGACTGTCAAGCCCTGCCCACCAGCAAAACCCTGTCCCAAATGCAAACAGCATGGACATTGGGCTCATGATTGCCTCATTCGCCCAGAAGAAGGAGAACACATGGCTCAGAGGCTTGCTGCAATTAAGGGACACCAGGCATCTTACACGATCTCAAAAGGGGATCTCTTGGGCTTGCTCCAGTCAGATTGATTCGCCCCTAACTTGGTAGCCCCAATGTCTTCGGAACAAACTATTAAACCAACCGAGCCTAGGGTGGAAATATCAGTAGCTGGCGGGGTTATATCATTTGTTATTAATACGGGGGCTACATGCTCAGCTCTACTTAAATTTCCTGGTCCACTCCTTCCTTCACCCCTTTTGGTTGTGGGGGTACAGGGCATTATATCCAGGCCCCTCACTATGCCATTACTTCCATGTGTTCTGGGAGATAAAATATTTCAACACTCTCTCCTTATTATGCCAACGTGTCCAGCTCCATTATTGGGAAGGGACATTATGACAAAAATTAAAGCTCGTATTATTCTTTACCCTGAGCCATCACCACTGTGCTTTTTGGGTGCCTTTGGTGTAGCTTTGGATTTCCCTAATAGTTCCACATTGGATCCTATCTAAGCCCTTCCACTGTATATAAACTTATTGCTTTGTTTAGAGCTCTGAGGTTAGGAAAAATGTAAAGAAAGTTGTTGGTGTAAGGTATGTTTTAGTAAGAAAGGATAAAGGAAAGATAAATAATTGTATAGGAAAGAATCTTGTATGGTACATTTTTGTTCTATAAATAGAATGGCTGGTTAAAGAAAGTATAGAACAAAAATAGAAGGTTTAAGCATGTCAAAAAATGGTATGAGTTTATTGAACATGGTAGGTGAAAGTTTGTGAAAAGAAGTAAAAGGAATTCTGTAAACACTCAGGCTTCAAAAAGTTTCCATAAATTTACCATTAATATCAATTACACTGATGCTAGGCCAACATGCTACTCGAAGGCCAGAACATGAGCTTCTTAATTAACAATCTCCAAAACAATTTTCTTCTTTAAATAACAGAGGGGAGAAAAAAGAGACAAAATTTAATTAGCCCCCCCACTGTCTTTGTTACAAAAGAGCGAGATTTTTCTTTTCAAAATCGTTGGACTATCATTTTGGCTAAATAAGTAACTTTTACAATAACTACTGTGATTTTGTGTTATAACATGCTTTTAAAAACTTTGGTACTTAGACTCTTCAAGTTCTTGATTCAGTCTCTAGGGTGAGATAAGCAGCAAGCTCCAGGAACCATACCTACCCCACCCTCTTCTAAGTTGCCTGAAGGCCAGGTAAATTAATTTCACTAACAGTACTGCCAAATTGCTAACGAACTTTAAAATCTCCTTCCAGGCACAAGGATTACAATCCAACATAGGTTGAGTGGCAAAATAACCTGGGCTTCACTCTCTAATATATCACTTGTTATAAAAGTATATCAGACATATTATAAAAACAAAGGAAACTGTTTTCTCTTGCCAATGTTTACCTGTTTTAAATTCTCAGTTTAAGCTATAACCTAACTACATGTCTCTAATGTTTTCAATCTTTCTTAGACTTTCTATCAAAGTGGCTATATTTCCTTGTTAAAATATAACTATAGATAATTTACAAAAAGATATTTCAACTTATGTTAATGAATATATACAATTTACGAAACTTTCACTTTTCCAACATTGTTTTTTGGGACAATAACTCTTTTCATCATCGTTTATTTATCTTTGCCTGTGCTCTCACTTGATGTTTTATTAGATCCAAATAGCACTTGCTTAAGGTTCTGCCATTTCCTGTTCATGCCCTTAAAAATAAATAGGTAAAAACATTGCTACGGCCCCATCTCAGCAGAAAGTAGATACAAAAAAAAAAATCTTCGCCCCATTTCCCAGGATTATAAAAATATTTCCAAGAACAGGAGTGAAAAATAAAAGATACCTATAAAAACCTTAAAAAAAACGTAGCTTATTCTCAGTCTTTTGGCCTCACTATAGCGATTAACAAGCATTCAGACATTCTACTGAAGGACAAACAGCAGCCTATCCCATCCCCCCTAGGCAAATCTTCAGATACAAGATCAGGCACTCATTCCTTTTTGATACTGCCTCAATGTCCCGTACCTCTTACGGGCAGGGACATTCTAGCTAAATTCCAGGTGTTCATCACCTTTAACCCAAGTACAGCCCTGTGACCCTTGGCCCCTTTCCTTTCTTGGTTTAATTGCCATCTTCCTTACTTGGTCAACACCTACAAATTGGCCATCCCCAGCCAAAGCTTTGTTGACTATTACATACCTCCTCATCATAACTAGCTTCATTCTTATTAAGTGTCTTTTATAAAAATTCACCCCTTACAGCACTATGTTCATCAGCCTAACCCTCCTTCCCTTATTAATTTTAACCCACCTCAATGGTAAAACAACTCCACCCGTCCCAACATTTCACTGGAGTTTAGGTATACGAATGTTCATTATGCAGATACTCTTGTTGATGAGGTGTGTCCCCACCTACCCTGGCATAATCCCACTACTGCCAATCCCGCCTCCTCCTCCCCTGGCAGTTTCCCACTGTTGCCAATCCCTTTCTTATTGTATTATGATAATTTTTCAAGGTTCGCTTACGAGTGAGAATGTGATACTCAACTCAACCATCACTTGTCAATGTTACCTATGCCCCACCTGGCTTCTTCTTCTGGTGCAACGGCACCCTTACAAAACGGCAGTCTTTCTTCCTGTAATCGCAGAAGTCTCTCCTGCCTCTACTCTGGCAGCAGCAGGCTTAGGCAGCAGGGCTCTAGCATACAGCATTACCTCCTCCCAAGACCTAGCCAATAAACTACAACTTGCTTGCATTAGAGGCTTCAACAATGTCTCTAGCCTCCTTATAACGCCAAATCAGCTTGTTAGCCCAGGTCACCTTACAAAACTGACAAGCCTTAAGCCTTAGATCTTCTAATGGCTGACAAGGGAGGCACTTGCCTCTTTCGAATTTGTGTTTTTGTTTAATAGCCCCATGTATCTTTAAATTTCTCCAACAACGCTTAACTGAACTCTCAAATCAAAACCTCAACCTCCTATTACTCAACAGTTATCATCTTGTCCCAGTAGAGGAGTCAACACCTCGTCCCTAAACATCACTTAACTCTTCTTTTAGATATGTTCTCTTCCAGGTTCTCTATTTACCTCCACAGTCTACTCCAAGACAGCTGATTACTACTGCCCTCGTGCCCACTGGAGGAATGGCCAGAACAAGTCGCCATTCTACATTTACAAAGAACTTTCCTGAAACTCTCTCCTTCAGAAATCTTCACCTTCAGCGCCTATCTTGGGGCCCAGTTCTGGCTGGTTCTGTACCCTTCCACCACCATTCCCCACAATGCCCCCGGCCAGCAGGAAGCAGCCAGAAAGAATAATGATGCCCCTCCCCCCAAGAAACAGAAAAGGTGGGAATGAAGGGTACAGGAAACAGCCAGAGGGGTGGCTCCCAAAATGGCACCGAACATGGTAAAGCCACACGAGACAACAAAGGCCCTAGGTTCCGGCTTCTTCATGCACGATTTCCCTAGTGCTTGCTTTTTCTCGGTTACAGACCCTCTCTGTAACAGCCCCTTTAATAAATCTCTTGGTCTCAGCCGGGTGCAGAGTCGTTACTGGCACCGAAATCCTTTCAACTGGCACATGGTAAACCCTCAATGAGTGTTAATATGGCTTCACTATGCCCATTTTATGGATGAGAAAACCAAGGCTCAGAGAGGTTAAGTAGTATGCTCAAGGTCACACAGCAGTAGAGGCGGCAGGATTCACACCATCCCCACACAATTCTGCCTTCCCACTGAAATCCCAGTGGCCAGGCAGGGTTCTCTCCTGGCTCTCAGGATCTTCCTGGCTTGGGTGGAGTCTGCTGGAACCAAAAGCGAACTTTGGTCCCCTTCTCTCTCCTGGCCCTGGCAGAGCTGACGGGCTCAGGGAAGAATCCAAGCTCTAAATCTGCAGGTGCGGGAGCTGGGGGAGGTGGAGCTCCCAGACTGCGGAATGAGCCCAACCTCACAGGGCTAGAGGACCTCACGAAGGCCTGCCACACCCCAGCAGGCTGCCTTCTGCACACCAACCCCAGGTGGCCGCACTCTGCTGGAGAACACCCAGCCAGTCAGGAACACACGCTACAGGCCACATTCCACTCATGGCATGGAATCTCGGCCAAGCTCTGTCCAAGAGGCTTGCGACTGTCCAGACAGCACGGTTCCCCATGCCCCTTCTCTTCAGTTCTCTGCCCTAACACACACCCCTAAGAAACCATGTCACCTTCTGTGCAGGTGAGAAGCCATCATGTGGGGCCTCTCACTCCTCCACACCGCCTACCAACCAGCTCGCTTCTGGCCACACAAACCCTCTCCCTCCCTTCTTCTCAAGGACAGATGGCCCCCTCCCGCCTCAAGGCAGTTCTTCCTTCTGGGCTCCAGTCCCTCTCCCCGCTCCTGGATGACGTCTCTCTCCCTCCCCACCTCCTGGTCATCCTGCATCCTGGCTTAGACACGCATTGCTCCTGACCCAGCACACCCCACCCGAGCCACCCGTGGGCGCTAGTTGGCAAACCCCTTGATGTGCCATGTTCCCAATCTCACCGAGCCTTGGGCAGCACCTGATGCCCTTGCCAGCGACTCACTCCTGCCCCCAGGCTTCACTGGGCTTCAGGGACATCACTCCATCCCCTTCCTCCCAGACCTCTCCAGGGTCTGCGGCTCCTGTCCGCCTTCCCTTGTTGCTGTGCCCCCAGAAAACCTCCAAGGCCTACTTCTTTCCTGGGTGACTTCGTCTCTTCCACAGCTTCAGTGCTCACTGTGCTGCGGCTCTGCCCCCTCTCCAAGTTCTAGAACTGTCCTCAGCGGACCTCTTCCTGGACATGCCACTGGCAATGTGAGCTCAGTGTATCCTGAATGGAACTCTGTCTCCAAGCCTGCTCCTCTGGCTCCTGTATCCCCAGCCAGGCATCCATGCCCAACTCCTGGAGTCACCCCTGACTCCTCTCTGAGCTTGAGTTGGTCCAGTCCGCCCACCCCACGGACAGGTCCTTAATTTTGACCTTCTTTTCTCTGTCCTAGGTCACCAGAAGAGCCTCCTCACAGGCCTCCCTGGTCTCCCGTCCACATACCTCCCTAGGGACTTTGAAACACAGAGTGGACCATATCACGTGCCCACTTAAAACCACTCATTACGGGACTGACCTGCCACTCGGCTGAAGCTCAGCTCCTCAGGGGCCCCCCCAGCTCCTGCTGCCCACACTGCATGGCTTCCCATGCCCGAACAGGAGCCCCTCAGCTCCCAGGTCTTGGACACCCCAGCTCTGAAATACCCTCAAGCTCTGGCACCCAGCTGACTCCTACGTTTCTTTTGGGATTCAGCACTGGTGTCCCCCATCCATGACATCTCCAACGATGCCTGCGTCCTGGCCATGCCCTCCCTGGGCTCCAGTCACAGGCCTGTCCATCTCCACTACCAGGCTGGGAGCATCTCGAGTGCAGGACCTAGTCTTGTTCATCCCTGGACCCCTCAGCACAGGGTACCAGGCCTGTCACCAGGCCTGGAACACAGAAGATGCTCACTACATGTTTAGAGTCTCAATGAGCATCTGAAGGCATGAATGACTAAAATGCCAGAATCCACGGTCAGGCATGGTGGCTCACACCTATAATACCTGCAGTTTGGGAGTCGGAGGCAGGAGGATTCCTTGAGTCCAGCAGTTCGAGACCAACCTAGACAGCATAAGGAGACCTCATCTCTACAAAAAAAAATTTTTTTAATTAGCTGGGTGTGGTAGTGCACACCTGTAGTCCCAGCTACTTGGGAGGCTAAGACAGGAAGATTGCTTGAGCCCAGGAGGTTAAGGCTGTGGTGAGCTGTCTCAAAAAGAAAAAACAAACAAACAAAAAGAATGACAGATTCCCACTCACCCTCAAAACCTCACACAGGGTCAGACAGCAAAAAGGCCCAACTATAGGAAAAACAGGAAGAGAAACGAGATCACGGTCTGAATGTGTCCCCCATATTCATCTGTTGAAACGTGGTGACAGAATTAAGAGGTGGCACCTTTAGCAGGTGAGATTCGTGCCACTACGAAAGAGGTTGAAGGGTACTGCCTTGCCCTTCTGAGGACACAGGAAGAAGGCACCACCTTTGAAGCAGAGAGCAAGCCCTCACCTGACGCCAAATCTGCAGGTGCCTTAACCTTGGACTTCCCAGCCCCCAGAACTATAAACAATACATTTCTGTGTATAAATTACCCAGTCTAAAGTATTTTGTTACAGCAGCACAAATAGACTACGATAGAGCCTGAGAACCAAACAAGGATTCTGGAAGTAGAATGCAGATCACTGGAGGCCTGGCCTGGGCTCTGCACAAAGGCAGTTGGAGCCCAAAGCCCAGTTTGTGGATGACTCTGCCAGATACAGGGAAGGAGCTGGGAAGGCCAATTTGGCCCCTGGGGTGGAGGTAGGGCAATAGGGGCCCTCCTAATGAATGGAGCCAGGAAGGAGTCCAGCTGGGGGAGCCTCAGGCCAGACCCCAGCACCAAGGCCAAGCATGCTAAGAAGACACTTTCCAGGGGCCAAGAGCCTCGGGTGGGAAAGGCAGGTCACACTATAGGAGGCCCCTGAGGAAGGAAGGGTGGAGGATACCTACTATAGGATGACATGAGGAAGCCCGTGTTCACCTTCCTGGTGGCGCTGAAGTTTGGCTCGATTTCATTTCCCTTGGTGTCAAATTTACGGCGATGGATGCAGCTGGGCTGGATATACAGCACATAGTAGCGCTCCTGGGGCCAGGCAGATAGAGAGTGAGGGGCGCCGCCTCACCCCCCAACACACACGCACACTTGGGCTCCGACTGCAGCCCTGCTAATCTCGCCCTCTTCCCAGAAGCCCTCCCCAGCTCCAGAAGATGTTCAAACCAGGCAGATGCCCCCACCCAAATAGTCACTCATCCACGTGCTCACCAGAGCACCTGCCACACACAATGAGTGGCGCTAGATATCCATGACAGGGCGGGCCCAGGGCCTGAGCCCAAGGCTGCCACACAGCCAGAGGCAGAAAGTATACACAGAAAACCCCAAGTCAAGCACGAGGACCCCAGATACCAGAAAGCAGGAGTGGGCACTGTCAAGGTGCCATGGAAAGGGACCGAAAGGGAGCCCTGAGGGCAGCACTCTGCCCTTCCGGAAAAGGACAAATCACTCCTAGCCTCCGGAGCCTCTGTGTCCCCTGTCACATAGGGCTTATGTGAGGTCTACTCTCTAGAATGTTGTAAGACGGTCAGCAAGACAGTAGAGGAGCCAGCACAGGGCCAGGCGTGGGATGTGCAATAAATGCCAACCATTCTAACTGAAGCAGGTGGGGGAGATTGCCCAGAGAGTGAAGGCAAGGGGCCACTCCCTGGGAGAAACAAGGAAAGTGAAGGCTTGAAGGGACGGGGAGAAAGAGGATTAAAAGGCTGGGACAGGTACATAAAGTAGAAGTCAAGAGGCTGTGTGCAGGCCAGGCATGGTGGCTCACTCCTGTAATCTCAGCACTTAGGGAGGCCATGGTGGAAGGACTGCTTGAGGTCAGGAGTTTGAAGTCAGCCTGGGCAACATAGTGAGACCCTAACTCTATAAAAATATATATAATACATATTTAAGGGAAAAAAGGCCTTGTGCATGTTTGAGCAATGCAGGGTGCCTGGAGAGCTTCTGGGAGCCCAGACAGGAAAGGCAGGTGGTAGTCTATGACAGGCCTTGAGCTGGCATTTGGAGTCTAGATTTTATTTGGTAGATTAGAAGAACTCTTGAAAGTTGTTTTTTTTTTTTTTAATCTTGTTTTGAGTCGCGGTCTCACTCTGTTTCCCAGGCTGGAGTGCAGTGGCATGCTCACAGCTCACCATAGCCTCGATCCTTCCACCTCAACCTCCTTAGTAGCTGGGACTACAGAGGCACACCATCATGACTGGCAATTTTTTTTTTTTTTGTAGAAACAAGGTCTCGCTGTGTTGCCCAGGCTGGCTGAAAGGTTTCTGAGCAGCAGCAAGACTCTCAGAGATGTCTTTCTGGAAACAAGTTGGCAGCAGGGCAGAGATGAGCTTTGGGGGCTGCGAGAAGGCGGGAGAGTGGACACAAGGTTTTATCAGGACAGGCTGAGGGGCCATCTGAGGGAGCAGACGTGGACAGAGGAAGGGAAGGGATGGGAGGGGGAGGAATGAACAAAGAAGGAGCCCGGCAGGACTTGGCACTGCTTACCTGCATGGGGGTTGGGCAGGAGAGAGTGAGGGTATGCAGGCTGGTAGCTGGGAGGGTGACTGCACAATCACCAAGGATGAGAAACTCAGAGAAGGCAAGCTTGAAGAGGGACTGTGTGCACGCCCCGGCCGTCTGAGGGCATCTGAGGCAGGCAGGCCCCACCTCAGTGTGGGGATCCTGCTGAACCCCCTTGGCCAGACCTGCTGGGCCTTGGATTGGTCTGTCCACCTGTTGACTTGCTGCTAAGGGGATGGGGGAGCAGCAGAGCATCTCTTGGCATGAAAATAGTGACAAGCTGGGAGCTGGGGCTGTTCCCACAGGGTGTAGGAGGGAAGAGCGGGCTCCATGCAGTGCGTGGCCTCTGGTCCCTCTCAAGAGGTCATTTTTAAAAACCAAGCTCAGCTCAGAGACCAAGGTCAGCACATCTAGGGGGGCTATTTGAAAGGGTGGCAGAAATTCAGAATTAGTGCTCAGAAAAGAGACACAGGCTAGTAAAGATGGTGAACGTCAGGTGTGTCCATGGATACCTGAGGTGGGGTGGTGATAACGGGCGTGGCCCCAGGAGGCTGAGGGGCAAAGGTAGCCAGGATATTGGCATGGAGGCCTTAGTGTCACAATGCAGACTTAACAATCAGGCTGGACTGGATTTAGGGCCTAGTCTGTCTTCTGAGCTGTGACCTAGGCTCTTCTGGCAGGAGCACAGGCCCTCTCCCTGTCTGCTGCTGGCCTAGCCTACGTGATTCCCTTTCCACTTGGTAGGCCCACTTGGCTGCTGATCTCCCAACCCGCTTCCCACATGCTGTCTGGGCCCAACAAGGAAGGAGCTGGATCCCAAGTCTTGACACCGGAAGAGCCCAGCACAAGGAGTGCCCGGTGGGTACCACAGAGGAAGCATCCTTACCTTCCTGCCATGGGCATCCGTGATGCTGTGCCGAGATACATCGACGAGTTCTCCCTCCAGCAGGACACCATTCCCCCTGGGGATGAGAGGTAAGGAAGGGATGGCCAGTTCCATCAGTCCCCAGCAAAGTCCATCACGTGTCACCTGTTCACTGACCCTGAGCTGGCTTGGTACTGAGTAGCTCTTTTCTCTGTGCTTTCCACGTAGGGGCCTCCCTCCCTCCAGGGGTCTCATAGGCTGGGGCACTGCTCAGAGGGCAGGAAGAACCTTGTCAGGCCATCCTAGGACCAAGCTACAACCCATTCCTGGAGGACCACTGGGAATTACTGTAACCACAGCCTCAGTCTTATCTACTAAGTGGGGAGAAGCCCTTTCACTCTGCTTCTCTGATGATGACACAAGATCATGTATGTGAAGGTATTTGGTAAACTATCAAGTGCTTACTAAATATCTTTAATTTAGCTAAATATGGGGAGAGGCATCTAAGCGGCTATAAATTGTCTTCCATTTCTACCTGTTTTAAATGCTTTCATATCCCTGTTCTCATTCATATCCGCCTGGGCAGCATCTCAAGGAAATGGTTATTGCCAGTTTAGACAGAGGTAGAAGAAACCAAGACAAAAGTTTGGGGACTAGCCCAAGATCACAGGGTCCCTCACTGAGGGGAACTAGACCCCTGGCTTCCTGATTCTAGTTTTCATAAAAGCAGAACCTGGGGCTTCCTTTTTTGGAAACACAGAAATGGGAGCGGGGTGGGAACAGCTAAGGATGACAGTGGGAGAGGGATGGGGATGGGAAGCGAAACTCCCTTTTTTTTAATACTTGATTTTTATTTTTTCATTTTTTTTAGTAGAGATGAGGTCTCACTATGCTGCTCAGGCTGGTATTGAACTACTGGGCTCAAGCAATCCTCCAGCCTTGGCCTCCCAAATTGCTGGGATTGCAGGCCATCTCGCCCTGCCTTAACTGACAAAGACTGTACATATTCAAGGTGCACCACGTGATGATTTGATATTCGTACACATTGTGAATGCTTTACCACAATAAAAATAATGAACACATCCGTCACCATCCATGCTGTACGTTAGACTCCCAGAATTTGTTCCTCTTATAACTGAACATTTGTATCCTCTGACCAGCATCCTCCCATTTCCTCCACCTCCCAGCCCCTGGCAACCACCACTCTACTCTGTTTCTATGGTCCAACTTTTTCAGACTCCGCATGTAAGTAAGGTCATACAGTATTTGTCTTTCTGTGGCTGGCTTGTGTCGCTCAGCGTAATTTTTCAGTGGAATTGCAAATGGAATGGTCCCTCCGTCCTCATAACCCTGCGACTGCAGGGCTGGCCCCAGGGTTTCTTCAGACCTGGATCGTAGGCAGGCCGAGCCCTCCGTCAGGCCGGCCAGGCCAACTCCCACCCGCTGTTCGCGCCGCAGCGCGGCTACCATCCCTTCTGGGGCAGGGTGCAAGTCCGTGCAAAGGTCTGGAGGCCTGGTGGCCTGGTGGCTGGAATTTGTAGTCGCGGGTGGGGCCGGACCGGAGATCGGCGTGAACCCCATTTGAGAGTCGGGATCCTCTCCGGAAGGCACGCGGACAGTGGGGAGTTTTAAGCCGATCTGGGCCGGGGCGGGTGGCCGGGGACGCTGGGCGGAGGGGACTGGAGGCCGGAGTCGGCTTTGGCAATTCCATTCCGCCTCCACACGCATCGCATCCCACCTCCCTCCCCCGGAGCGGGGTTCCAAGCCCGGGCGGGGGCGCGGCGGGGCCTCCCCCTGGTGGGCGGCGGGGTCCCAGGCCCCGGGCAGCCGCGCGCTCTGCACCGCCTTGTTCCGGAGCGCGCCGTCCTGGTAGATGCGGCTCAGG